TTATAGTAATTAATTTTGATCTAATTTATTGTATATTATTGTGAGATTTAGGCGTTTTTAGTTGTGCATATTATCGTTTTTTCCGTAAACTAGGTGCGGTAGAACGATCAGTACAAAAAAATGAAAATAGTATTTACAAATATTCTACATTAATTTTCAATAGGAAGAATAAGTCTACTGTTTACTTCTATTGGAAGTAGTCAAAACTTCTTCTAAGGGGGCAAACGAGGCGCTCAAAAATTGCGATTTATTGCAAAGAATGTGAAAGGGCTCTTAAGCAAGTCCATTTTAGAATTATAATATTATTTTTGCTACTATTAAGGTCAGGTGGGGTAAGGGGGACTACGGGGGAAGGGAAACACTGGTTTGTAACTCTAGAACCATAGACTGTAGCTCGGTCACTTGGTGGTCGGTAAAGTAGTAATTAAAGTTCCAAAAAAAAAAGAAAGATGGCGCTGGGACTAATGAGCGCATGGAACTAATAAGTACTACGTACTTATTAGTTCCATGAATGAGCGTGCGACATTGACAAAAACAAAAATCAGTTGGCGCGCTACAAGGCCACGAGTTGGGCGCGCTACAAGGCCACGAGTTGGGCGCGTATTACTTGTCTAGTGATTTGTGTAGCGAAAAATTATGTCCGAAAACTTCTGATATCGGTAAGTATTCTTTTATATGTATAATTTTCATGTTATGTATTTGAATTTGAGTAAACTACGCTATAAATAAGAAAATTCGAGGTGATTAAAAATATAACCTACAAATTCATTACCGGGGTAACGGGAACTACCATAGCCGGGTCAAGTGGAACATATGTTTCCCTTTCCCGATGTCAGGGGTCATGAACATTTTAAGAGACACATATTTCTTTAGATTTAAACATCAAGCAGTTACATGCTTTAAAAATAATAAAAAAAAAAAAAAAAAAATCATAACATATTAAATACTTACAAATGCACAGTTTTTGAAGTGAAAACTTCTTTAGCGGCGTTGAGCACTTTTTTGTATGGGTAAAAACTTTCCTTCTTATGTTAATAAAAAATAACCTTAATAAATATTAAATACATTGTTACAGACAGTCAAAATGCCAAGAAATTACGTAAGAAAAACGGATAATGCATCATACCCCTTGGAAAAATTATTAGAGGCCGTGAAAGCCGTTAAAAGTGGCAGATTGTCTGGGTATGAGGCATCTAAACACTATGGGATACCCAGATCAACGATCATAAATCGAGTAAGTTATATGTCTACAGTTTAATAGACTAAAGGTTTATTTAGTTAGGTGTGATAAAGCCAGTCGGCTTAACCTCTATTTTTGATGTTTTGTTTCTATAGCCGCTTTTTTGTTCTCAGGTTTATGATCGCAAAGGACTGAAGTCTAGTACTTTGGGAAGAGCCACCGTCTTATCCCGAGAGGTAGAGGAAGATTTCGTAAAAAAATTGCGGGTAATGGAGAAATACGGTTTTGGTCTAACAAGAAAAGAGTTATTGGAAACCGTGGGACAGTACGTGTCTGTAAATCTTGTAAAAAATCCATTTAAAAATGGAGTTCCCGGCGAAGATTGGTTTTTATCGTTCAAAAAGAGGCATGAGTTATCGATCAAAAAACCACAACCGGTAGAATATGCTCGGAAACTAGCAATCAGTCCATTCGTTATATACCCTTACTTCGATTTACTAGAAGAAACTGTAAATGAGCTGGGATTAAGCGACAAACCGTCACATATATGGAACGTGGACGAAACCAGTTTCTCCAAAGACCCCTCCAAATCCAAGGTAGTCGGATGTAAAGGATTTACATCCACACGTACAATTGCTTCCCCGGGAAAGGACAATACTACTATTTTGTTAGGGTGTAACGCCCTGGGAGAGAAAACTCCACCCATGATCGTTTTGAAGGGGAAAAATGTCTGGGACCAATGGACCAGCCCTGAAGATTATCCCGGAACAGCATATGCTGCAACAAGTAACGGTTGGATGGAGACACCCGTCTTTGAAGCCTATTTCGAAAAGGTATTTTTGAAAACTGTTGGAGAAAAGCGCCCGATTCTTTTGTTGTATGATGGACATGCAACACACGTAGGTATTAATCTCATAAAGATGGCCAGAGAAGCAAACATTACCATTTTAAAAATACCTCCTCACACCAGCCATGTCTTACAGCCACTAGATTTAGCTGTAAATAAATCTTTTAAAGACCGATGGGATGCTGCAATATTAAAATGGCAGAGAATGAACATAGGCAAGATATTACCAAAAAAAGAATTCTCAAAAATGATTGGGCAAATCTGGAAAACGTTGGATCCTGCTATATGCGCAGCTGGTTTTAGAAAAGGAGGAATTTATCCTTTAAATAAACTTGCAGTTCCAGAAAACCAGTTTCACCAAGATATTTTACGGGAATACAAACAAAAATCATCTTCTAATGCGACATCATCGTCATCATCGACAAATAACCAAATTACAGCAAATACCGAGTCGCAAGAACCTGGCACATTCACTCAAGCTGACCCAGTCTTTGAAGACAAGTCACCGAAAAACAACACATTTGAACCTGACTCTTTGCTTAAACTGTCTTTAAAAATTATAATGCGTTTTGAATTGAAGCAAATTGACGATTGTCGTAGTTCGGATGTGCCAAAATGTACACAAAACTCTTTTGAACTCGACACAGAATCCGTACGCTCTAGTACGAAGAACAGTTCGGAGCCATCGTCTAAAATTCAAATACTTGAAAACCGCCTTGTTACATTTGAAGACTTGCTGTTGATGAGGATTAAAGCAGGAACCAGCACCAAAGTAAAAAGAAAACGTGTGGCAAATGGTGCTGAAGTTATAACAAGTGAGGATGTTTATAAAAGAACTCAAGAAACAGAAAAAGAAAAACAAGAAAAACAGAATAAGACGAAGCAGAACGAGGAAAGACCAAAGAAAAAAATTAAAGTAAAAAAAGAGGATATTAAAGACAGCAGAGAACATGAAAAGATAGGGGAAAAAGCCAAAAAGCCATTGAAAAGATCCAAAAAGAGACCAAATTATTCCTCAACTTCGAGTGAAAGTGAGACGGAAATCAAATATGACGAAGACAGCGATGGGAATGAGTATTGGGAGGAGTTACTGAATAGAAGTAGAGAGGAAGATGAAGAAAAAAAGGACAAAATGAAGCGGCAACAGCAACGACCAAATAACAGGAATAAAGAAAAAGTAGAGGAAACTAAAGACTCTAGAAGGCAAAGCAATAAAGAACAGAAAGAAAGAATGTCCGTTAAACAATGTAGTAAAATACCAAAAATTCCAACAACTTTAAGTGAAAGTGAGACTGATATAAAATATGTCGAAGATAATTGTAGCAATGATTATTGTGATAATACACTGAATGAGAGTCATGACGAAGATGAAATTAATTTAAACAAGGAGAACTGTAATTACAATGCGCTTTAATTTGAAGGAGATTGGCTACTAGTAAAATTTTGCACTAAAAAATCTATAAATATAAAACATTATGTAGGCACAGTGCTAACAAAAATAAGGTCGGTTATCCAGTGGTAAAATACGCAAGAAAAAAATCAAAAGCAGAAGGTGAAACAGTTTTTACCTTTCCTGTACTGGACGATATCTCTGAAGTGAAACACACTGAGGACATTGTCACAAAATTGCCAAATCCAGCCATTGGTCGCAGAGGCCAAATCATATTTAAGATTTCCTTTAGTTCTTTTAATATTCAGTAACTGAATAGTCATAGCTATAAGTAGCATTCTTATTTTCTTAAAAATGTTTTCTTTAATAGTAATTAAAGATATGAGTCACTTTTTTTTTCTCAAAAAGTCATTATAGATAAAAACTAGAGTGATTTAGATTTAAATAAGTAAATACTTTAAAAATACTGCGATACTAGTATAATACTTACTATAGTCATAGCTATAAGTAGTATTCTTATTTTCTTAAAAATATTTTCTTTAATAGTAATTAAAGACATGAGTCACTTTTTTTTTCTCAAAAAGTCATTATAGATAAAAACTAGAGTGGTTTAGATTTAAATAAGTAAATACTTTAAAAACACTGCGATACTAGACTAGTATAATACTTACTATTGAGAGTGAAATATGAGAGGGTTTTGTTATTTTACTGTTAATAAACAAAAATACAATGAAAAACTCTGCTTTCATTACAAGCTTTTATTTGACTTGTCCTGTATGTGTGGGACAAATCCTGCAACTGAATGTAAGACTTTATCTTTAATTTGATATTTCGAAAAAAGTTAGTTAAAAAATATATAGGTACTTAATTATAATTTTAAGTTGACAACCACTGTCTCAAGCCCATATGTTCCCCTTGCCCCGGATTTCAATTTTTGTAAATATTTTCTATTTTGAACCTTATGTCAAAAGACTAAAGTCTTCATTTGATTAATGTTTGTGTTCTTTATATTACCTTGGGGGTATAATACGTACTAGCTCAAATACGTTGAGATTTTATTGAAGAGTTTCCCTTACCCCAAATACCGGGAAAGGGAAACAATAGGACCAGCCTAAACGTTTTACCAATTTTCAGTTACATGCATTATAGCTAGTTTAGAAACTCATTCGACTCTAGAAAGCAGTTTTAAAGAAGCATACTTTGTGTCCGTCAAGATGAATACACGACATTAAATAAAGTGGTTAGAGCTCGATATAAAATATAAAAAATGAAGTATGTTTCCCTTACCCCACCTGACCTTACTATTTTATGAATCAAGCCTTAAGTAAGCATTGTTTATTATTACTTCCCCCCTATGAAGATCGAACTTCGGCTAGGAGTGTAAATTCAGTTTTGTTTTAATTGTTGATTGAATAGGAATGACGTAAGTCATATTAATTCTGATTTTGTCAAACAAATCTTTACAGGTTTTAAAGATAATTCATGTTTTTATCAGCCAAATGCTGTAATAAAAATACATTTTGTATGTTATTATAAAAAGACATTATAGTTGCATTTTATTGAGTTGATTAAAACACAATTCATAACACTGATTTTTAATTTATTGCATTATAATCCTCTTTATAAACAGCGGACGAAAAGTAACCTATGTCGAAAACTAATATTTTTGGACGAAAACTGATGAAATTGGTACTTTTCAATAAAATATTTTTTATAAAAAAAACGAAGATTATAATTAATTGTCTCTTGGTGTAAACATAAAATAGACTATAATAGCGTTTAATTAAAATATAGTTTGTTAGATGTGACCCAGTGGAACATATTTTTTTTAAATGTATAACCTGGCAACTCCACTAATTGGACGGAAACCGGCTAAACTACCCTATCTCACACAACATTAGACGTTGCATTTTTCCGACCTATGAAAATGGCATGACGAGAAATACATACAAAATAGAAAAAAGCTGATGGATCCTGCCTTTTAAATAACCTAAAAGTTGTTTCCCAAAGTTTGTTAAATTACTAAAACTGAAAATATTTATCGAGCAGGGTTTTGAAAGACTGATGAGAAGAACAGGCTATATCAAAAGTTTTCATGATTACTTTTCAAGACACATGCATCGCTCATTTCTTGATTCATTTTCAAATTGTATGAATGTATCAAGCGTAGACCGAACTGACAAGTCACTAAATACGACACCTGAAGAGGGAAGATGCGTCATTGGTCGCTCGATGGCTACAGGTATTCTGGGTCTTCCAAGGATTAGAATTTTTTGGGCAGCATAAGCAATAGTAAAGCTGATAGCCGAAACAACTACTCGTAACAAATTTTCAGATTTTTGTAACATTAGATAAACAGAGATTTTAACATCAGATCAAACATGAAAGACATGGATGACAACCAGGTTTCTTCAGGTAAGAAAGATGTCGACAGATTTTGGTAGCTTCATCCGATAGTGCCACAAATTGAGAAGGCTACAAGCTTTCCTTGTGAAAATGTGTAGCAATTGATGAAAAATCAAAGAGAAAAAGGGAAACTCAACAATAAAAATTTGTAGTTGTAGATTAACAAATAATTCGTTTTACTGGCAAATGCAAGCAAAATCAGGTACCTATAACTATGTACCCTACGGAAGCCAAATTCTGAAGAAACCAAATTATTTTTATGGTGAACCCTAGTGGTCTTACTTTAGATTTTGTACCTTATCATGGGCAATGTAAGTACTTCGATTGAATCAACGCCAGAGAAAATGGACTAGGGAGGTCTGTCTGTCGTGTAGTATTAAAACTTGCTGATACTCTGCCACAGTAAACATCGATCTATATTGACCGCTATTTTATTTCTATTTCTCTTTTGGACAATTTAGTAGATTAAAACCTAAATCTCATTACACACTTCCTAATCCGAAGAAGTCGAAAATTTCAACCCATTTTACAGTACACAAAGTCACAGTAGCGTCCACATTTGTGTCTTTTTGTGGGATAATTCAATTCAATTTTGGTGATTCCAGCTGCGTCTCATTGCGTGACGATTCTGCCAATGTCTGGGTTAAAGGAGACAAGGTATATGCTGAGCCTGTATGGTTTTGTTGATGTTCTGCAGTATGTCGACTACAGACTTATTATGGGGTAAATAAAGTTCTACTTTGTAAAGCTGTTCCAAACAGCGCACACCGCGTCGTCTCAGTGTAAACATCGAAGTATATAATATATGTAATATCAAACTTTTCTCAATGACATAACTTCACTGATGATGCAATAGTGAACTTTGGTAGATAGCTTTTAGGTAAGTTTGGAAGATCACCCAATTACAATTCGCTCACATATCACAGTTATGTGGCCACCTAGGAAATGGTAGGGTATCCTTTATATTGCTAATGTTACACATGACTTGCATAAGTCTCTCTAAACCAAGTCCAAACCCTCCAGTTGGTATGTTGCCATACTTTCTTAGTTCAAGATACCAATTTAATCTCTCTGAAGGTATCTTCACCTTCAAATTTTGATAATCATCCTCTCTGAGACTGCCACCTACCACCTCTCCGGTGACAGGTGTCAAAAGATCTAGTGCATCCACCTGAAAAAGACATGCAACAGTTAAAATAAATTAACCAATGCTATGGACTTAAATATGTAGGTATATTGTTTATTAGATATATATCAACAATCATAGGGAGAGAAGAGACTAAGAGCCCATTTCTGTAACTTATTCATCATCAGCCTATTGACATCCCCACTGCTGGGGCACAGGCCTTCCCTACGGATGGAATAGGGAGATTGGGCCACAACTTGGGCCCAGTGTGGATTGGTGAGTACTAACAACTGCAGATGTAGCTGGGACCTATGACTTAATGAGCCTTCTGAAGCACAGAAGAGCTTGAGATAACAAATTTTAGTCACCCATCCAATGACGGACCATAGCGAAAGCTGCTAAACTTCCACAATTGCAGGCCCACAGTACTAACCACCTGGACCACCAAGCTCCTCATATTTTATCCTATACTAATAAATAAAAAAAAGAATGGATGCTTTCAATGTGTACCTTTGTGTTATCATGCTGACATTCTTTCATATAAAAAGACTTTAATTCTTTAGGCCATCTGACCACAAAAACAGGCACTTTGCCACAATGATCTACAATAGCCAATTCCTGTTCTTTATTTATTCCTTCATCTGATACATTCAAACCTTTTTTCATCAATATATTTATGGCTTCCTCATAAGTTATAGTAATAAATTTTTTATCACTCCATGATGGTACTTCATTTTCTTTATCTATAATCCACATATCACCTTCATTGGTATCTCTCGTCTTTACAAATACATATTTAAATAAATCTTCAATAACTTCTTGCAACTGTTCTAATCTATCACAAAATGCTAGCTCTGCTTCCAACATATAGAACTCAGAAAGATGCAGCCGAGATCTGGAATTTTCTGCTCTGAATGTCGGACCTAAAGTGTACACATTTCCCATGCCTCTACAGACTGCTTCTAAATGCAACTGACCCGACACTGTCAAAAATGTGTTTGATCCAAAATAAACAGAATCTCTGTCTTTCCCTTCTTGCATCATGGCTTTTACAGTTTCATCACTATCAGGTTGCACTTTAAAAACTTCTCCGGCACCTTCGCAGTCATTTGAAGTCAGTATTGGTGTGTGTACATTCAAATAGTTTCTTGAACGAAAAAAGTCATAGATATGCATTGTGAGCGCATTTCTTACCCTCAAAATAGATGATATATAATTAGTCCTCGAGCGTAAATGTAAATACTGGCGTACATATTCTGGTGGGTGTGTCTTTCTGGGCTGAAACGGATATCCTTCTGACACAATACAACTACCTAATACGTTTACGGTGTCAGCGAGGAGTTCTATTTGTCCTCTGGGACTCTTTGAAAGCAGCCCGACGATACGTACGGAACTGCCGTAGCTGAGTGCGTCGCTTGTCAGATGTTTAGGTATAACCACCTGCAGCTTCTTACCGCATGAGCCGTCGCTGACATCTGCAAAGATAAGCTCCTTTTGTACTCTTAAATTTTTCACCCAACCCTGTAATATTTATTTTCATAGTGAACTTGAAGAAAATTTCGTGGATTATTTATAAAGAAAAGTGAACACATGGTGATTTACTTACCTTAACCTCGGTTACTTCACCGATTTTAGGGTTTTCTAAAACAGTTGTAAGGTTGCTTAAACGTTTAAGACTTTCGAATTTTTTATCAGCCATTCTAAGATAACCAAAACACCGAGAACCTAACATTATCACCACTTCAGTAGGTTCGCAGCACAAAATTTTCCGTATATAAAAAGTACTCTGCACAAAATCAAAACGAACGGGAGTAGGTAGGTACCTAATGAAAAAAACCGTCACTCACAGTAGTGATGTGAACCGGTTTCATAAAAAGTACTGATTGATGAGATTAAATGCCAAGGATGAAGATAGAACTAATAGTAATATTCAAGAACTCATAGACTTAGAAGAGGAGTAAATATTGCGTTAACGGGTGTTGATTTTATTGACTTTTATATATGTTAATTTAAAAATAATGCAAGTGTACTGTATTTTGAAGTTATACTTCTTTAGGCGCGTTATAAAAAAATGATGAGAGTGAAATTTTAAGATGCGCGCGCATCACTGTAACACAAAAAAATTGTGTTTTTTTTACTTTTGTGTTTACCGCACATTAAGAAAATCTACCAACAAAATAGAAATAGAATCTCTATTTTGTGGGTGCTAACGACTGCGCTGTGAAGGTCTATCAAAAGTATTTATTAATCTGGAACAACGGAACCAAAGCGCGATTCAGGAGACTACAGCGCCATCTCTTGATCATTGGTGTAGTAGAACCAAAAACCACATCTTTATTTTTTGTAATAATGTAACAAAAAGTATTTATTAATCTGGAACAACGGAACCAAAGCGCGATTCAGGAGACTACAGCGCCATCTCTTGACCATTGGTGTAGTAGAACCAAAAACCACATCTTTATTTTTTGTAATAAAATAACAGTTATAGGTATTCATATTTATAATATTTATCCACATGTTTCTAGTTTGTATATTCGGAATACGTGTTTGAGTTTCATACAAGTGCAAATCACATATGTTCTAATAAATTATATTCAGTAGCGATTTTAATTGAATATTTTGATTATTTATTTATTTTTTCAAATTAAAACTGAACTTTATTGACTGTGTCCTTTTCCAGACTTTTTATTAATTTATTGTAATTAATTATTTGCATGCAATTAAAAACTAATTCTACGGATCTCCGTATTTCGGATCTTATCACGCAGGGAAACACCGAGCATAGCCCTCTCCATAGCACGCTGCGCGACTCTGAGCGTGGGGCGGCCCCCAACAAGGTGGACTGACGACATCGTCAAATATGCTGGGAGCCGCTGGATGCGGATAGCGCAGGACCGCGCATTGTGGCGTTCTATGGGGGAGGCCTATGTCCAGCAGTGGACGGAGAAAGGCTGATGGATGAATGGATGAAAAACTAATTTTAAACAATGCCAAAGAAGGATAACTTCTCACGCGCCTACATAAGTACACGCACCCATTTTTTTTTATAAATACTATACTTTTCTATTTTTTTGCTATCTTTTTCAACAAACCTAAATCCAACCCTGGTCACTACAAGAATATATACTAGTTTTAGTTTTGCTTGCGAATTCATTGCAATGGGGTATTTTGGTGGTGACAAGTTTTAGATAACGATCTCACGTGTTTACTAACGTTTACGTAGTCCATAAAAAAAAATGTATTGTAAATTAATGTAAATACTAATAAAATGTGTATGTTAATTATCCTTTTTTTATTTGTCGTATCAATCACTGAGTTTGATATATATTATTTTAATAGCGAGGTAGGCAAATGACCCTACCTGATTTTAAGTGGTGATAAAGTCAAAACGCGAAGATAGCTGGCACTATTATTATTTTATTTGTTATATTGTTAGCCACACGGGAATGTCCACTAAAAATCCCGGGAAGATCCATTTTAAAACTCTACCTAATTCCGACCTCTGGTGATTAAGTTAAAGTTTTAAATAGGTAGAATAGAAAAGAATAGATTTTTTTATTATTATCTTAATAACATGAAATAAAAAGTACATAATGAAACTATATTTGTGACTAGGGAATGCAATTCCGGGATACTGCATACATTTTGCGGGACTAATCTTGGTCCAAAAGTTTTCGGGTTCACGCTGGATTGGCAAGATTACAAAGAAGCGTGTTCCATACGTGTTTCTCTACAAGCGACGCGTCTGAATAAAAATTAGTGTACCCTTTCATAGAATATTTATAAATATATTTTAGTTGTAGGAGCCCGCCACTTTGTCTAGTAGTCGTCTTACCGTACAGTTTGTCTATAAAGTCGTGACATTATATGATGTTGCCTCTAGTACAGTTTGTCTATAAAGTCGTGACATTAAATGATGGCGCCACTAGTATGCATGTAGCAACCCTATACAGTCGGACCAAAATGATTTTGATACTAGCAGTTCATTCAAGTAAAATAGGTAATTGATAAGACACACTATACAGTCGTATTTTGTTTCTGTTTTATATATGAATAGTAGGTACCTATGCTAATAAATAGTTTAGCCAAGCATATTTAGTTGAATCAGAATAAAATTATTATAGATAAAATAGTGCTTTAAAGTGTAAAAGTGTGTTATGTAGGTGATTACCGCTGAGGTGCCATTGAGACCAGAGCCGTTAGGTAATCATCAAATACACACAAGTATCATCATACGACGTTTTTTAACACACTTGTAAAGAAAATAATACTAAAAATAATTTTATAGTATATAAAAAGTTTATTTAGAGAAACAATTTGTTAACGTGCAGTTAGTAAAATTAGTATCTTTACTAAAAGCATCTGGCCATGGTTCTTTATGTGACCATTTCTTTCTTTGGTCGGCCTTTGCCTGTTTTCCCAGGAGTTTCAAACTTTCCATCATTCTTAAAACCTTCGTTAACTATCCACATAGCTGTACTTTCTGTATTTTCCTAAAAAAAGTAAAAAAATATATAACGGAATAGAAACAATAAGTCATTGACATGAAGCAATTAATTCAAAATTGGTAGAAAACCTGACCGAGTTGAACCATAATAACGTATCAAAAGAAATGGTCGTACTACAATATTACCTATTTACAATGTCAACCTAACCTAAAAATGTGCAATGTAAACAATGCCTTTTTTGGTCTCAAAATCGTAAATTGAGTAAATTTGTAACTTCAGGCAGATTACAAACAAATAGTTACACGATTACATACCCGTCATAGATGCTGTTCGCCCATAATCATCATCCAAATCCCACAAAATTCGTCCAGCTTGGTAGTCTTCGAAACATCGCTGGAAAACTTTCAAAATCGCTTCCCGCGTGCCACTGCGATTTACTTTACTCATTTTTATACCTTTCTGCGTAGTTTAGTCTTAATTTATTACAGTTTAATCCAAACAATAAAAAATACAAAAGGAAAACTGTTCCACAACTGAAACTCGATGACAGCTGATGAAGTTTGGTGTTGCCAGACACATGAATAATGTTAGTTCCTCAAACATTCATGTTACGACTTTATAGACGAACTGTAAGTGACATTTTTTTTGAGTGTGTATGCTGTTGGTCGCAGATGACCTTTACAGCGTCACCGGATTTGGGGACGGCGAGATCCTAAGGGGACCTCAAGCCGAGAATTGGCAAGTGCCACTGGAGGTATTCCAGGCGGATGGCGTTTCCCCACGGGGGGAGTCTCCTCTCCGTCTGGAGCCTCCAGACGGCAGAGGGGGTCGGCTCAACTAGAGGGCGTCTCTGAGACTCGAACCTCGACTCTAGTTAGCCGGTGTCGTGGAGGTCGGGGAAAAACGCCCAGGTACGTACCTGTACCTGGTATAGCGTGTCGTGTGTAGACCGGGTCTTCGCACTCTTATCCTACGAGTGCGGTGTCTGCCTAATGCTAAGCTAGTGTGCACGTTTGCTAGCTGTGTAGTGTTGGTGTTTGTGGCCTGTGTGGGAGGAATCGGAGGCGCGTTGGCGCGTGTGATTTCGTCCACCTTCATCTTTATTAACAGAATTTTTGACAGCTTTATAACCCCATTTGCGCTATTAGTAATTTACTCATGATTTCAGTGCATTTTAGTGTGATTTTTTTCTTTATCTTAATATGGGTGAGTAATATATTTATTTCAATAAAGACCTTTAAAAAACGTTTTTTTGTTAAGTTATCAGAATATACCGGTTTTAAATATCGTAATCGGTTCACAGCAGTAACGGACAGATTCAAGGCTGCACTTAAAGCTAGAAACATATTAACGTTTCGTGTCGTGTCGACTCTATACATAATGCACATGCGACATAAACAGTGTAGTCTAAGCAGGTTGCCTGCTTTTTCTCGCGCTTTGTTTTCTAAGTCTGAATCTGAATTTGAATCAGGAGTGCACTCTGGCCGTACCCTTCGACTACACTGTTTATTTCTCACGATTGTTTTCAGAATCTGAATCTGAATCTGAGTGCACTCTGGCCGCACCCTAACCCATAATAAATGTATGAAACCGATGCGTCACGACACACCACGACATGTTAATAGGTTTCTGGCTTAACTGTTGTGTTATTGTGACGCGTCATAGAGCTGTTTTAAACATTTAGTATGATTACAGTGAGTACGGTATCGACACATCGCAACACCCAACCCAAGTATGATGTTGATGTTGATGATGTTGTACCCATAGTTGAGTGTAATACCATACTAAATAGCTGCAGGCCAATTATGCTCGCTAATTGTGATATTGTTTTGATGTCTATTTCACATTACGTAATAAGCTTTCCGAAAAATGCGATATCAAAATGACATCACCTTATGCTATGATGATGATCAACTCTATAAAATGATATCAACTTAAATGCGTATTACGTTCAACTTTTTGACTTAAAATATTATCGCATAAACGTCAAAAATGTGATACAGGATATGATATTGATATGGTCTTGATGTGACATAGGAATGTTTCATAATACCATATAAAAACAATGTCATCTAGGCATCAACATCATATTGACATCACATTAGAATTTTATTACTGAAGCATAATTGACCCGCTGTCCTAATGCCTCACAACACAAAAGTGTATAGGCAAAATTAAACGAGTTATTTGTCGTGTTGTGTTTTGACGGGCTCTGATATGATACGTAGCGTTCACATGTAGGTATTTCATGCCTTCTGAGGTAGCGTTGCCGGAACGTTACTTGTGCAACATTTTGCAATACTTTTAGTCCTGTGGCGTTACCTTACTTTAATGTTTATTAAGTTCTCATTTATCTAAAATAGAATATAAAATCTTGAAAGTCTGAACTTTTATCGTAATGAGAGGTAGGCTTTTTGTCAGGCATTTTCAAATTCCTAAAATGTGTCCACAAACGGCCGCTAACCTGCCATTCTCACCTCACATCTCTGATGCAATCTTAAGCTCTTCTGAAGGCAGAATATATTTCTCTGTCGTTTGTGTTGTGACTCAATCGTAGTGATGTGCCGAGCCGGTTATTTATGGTATTCGGGTAGTACTCGTTAAAAAAAGATTCGTATTGGGATTCGAGTCGGAAGTCTCGGATAGGTATTCGAGGACTAGCACGAGTATTCGAATACTTTTCTGGTCTCGAGTATTATATTCTTCGAGTTGACCTGAATAGCATTTTTTGACAAAAAAGTCATCTGTAATTGTGTTTTACGACTTTTCGCTGGTACTTCGTCAATGTCATTTGATTGAATTGTAGATGATGATGCTAATGAGTCTAATGACTCCAAGTCCAAATCAGAACTGTCATCCAAGCTTTCGTTTTCATTTTGCTTACTTTTTTTCTATTATCGCTGTATAAATCAATGGATGTATTTTTTTCAAATGTTTTATAAATTTATGGCGTTTCTAAAATTAACAAATGTTTTTTTACACTCTTTGCACTCCACTTTTTTATTTGTTAAATATTATTAAAATTACATACTTCGGATTTCTTCTTCAGAGCCATCCTATCACAAAGTCACTAGTCAAAAAACATTAAAACTTTACAATTCTACAGTTAAACTGGTAACCGTGAGTTCGACTAATTAAAATAGGGGTACTTATAAGAAACAAATATGTAATCAAACTTTTGTTAACATCTCATTAAAGTGATCGGCCGAGTAGGAAACATAAAGACGTTCAAACCTGCACCGACTCATCAACATTTCACGTTACTAACTTCACTGTACGAGTACAACGACTGAGTATTCGAATACCGTAAGTACTCGAAACCTGTACTCAAGTACTGTGGATCCGAATACAATATTTCGAGTACTCGAGTACGTGAGTATCTGCTAGGTATTCGAGTCAGTATTCGAGTCAATCTCACTCGGCACATCTGTACGCAACATACAAATGTGTTTCTATGCCGCGTGGCTCGTGGTGTTTACAAACGATGTGAACAACTAGCGGCCGCTTGGTTACGTGTTTCTGAAAAAATATTGACGAGCTCTTTAAGTTTGTAGGTAGGTACGTCAAAGAAATGTTTTTATGAAACGAAGAGTAAAAAATAAAAGGATCATTTAATTTAAAATGCTGCTTGGGAAGAAATTGCTGAAATATTAAAAAATATATTCACCCAGTACTTATTATGGCCTTCAAAAAGTGTTATGGGTCAGGCCGTAGATTTTGCCATGAATAGCGCAATGGTGTCGCAAAAATTTCTACGAGTCCATAGCGCAGAGTGACGCAAAATGGTAACGCAAAATTATTAAGGAGTGCATACAAGATATGTTACGTAAGGACAGTGCTACAAAATAAAACACACTTTTAATAGGTAAGTATGACAAAAGTCAACTTTTACTCTTATCTTTAAGTCTTAAAAGGTGTTACAAAAAAGCGGAGAGTTCTATTGCTAGAAATACAATTCCTTCACAGGAACTAAAATCGAAACCTCAAAAAAAACAAATATTACAAAAGCTAAAAAAACACCTGCAAGCCTATGTGTGTAAGCTCCTTTATTTGGTAGCGTAAAATTAGTAGCGCAAATTCTACGCCCCTGGTATCGCAAAGTTGCATAAAGTCATTTTTAAGCAACTGTCGTGCAAACAAAACCCATTATGACTTGATAAATAAGCTATTTATTAATGTAAATTAAGCCTTGAAAGATGTCAAACATTTCATTAAATCGTGCGCAATAATAAGTATAGATATAAATCAAAAACTTACCGTGATATATCAAAAAACACTCTCCGCAAAAAATATGACACTTCCTTCTTTCAAACGATGTTGATGTTGGACTGAAAAAAATATGGCCGCTGACCAGTGTTGCCAACACGGATTTTGAAAAAGGCGTAGGCCCGATGAGAAAATTACGTAGAATTAGTAAATTTTGCATATGAAAAGTACGTAGATCTACGTACTATTTTCTGAGTGAAATGAAGAAGTTAGGTGAAACCGAATGAAACGAGTATTTTGTTATACAATTTCTGTAAAAACGGGAGATAGAACAAAGAGTTCTTGGAGTAATATGCATTGGAAGCATTAACCATGCTGTGGTGGTAGACATTTACCATCAGACACAGACACTGGTGGGTGTCGATTCTGGCGTGATTCTCTAAATTTAAAACTAAATTTAACATCAGTCTCTCCTTTTCATTCTGAATTGAGAATGACAAGGATACACTGTTGTTCAATAGGCTAGTTGACACTTTTTGGAATTATATTTTAAATTGTTAATAATTGTTCTATCAGACCGAAAAAAATGAATAAACTTTCTGAGTTAATATTATAAAACCATGATCACATGAAAAATATAGTAGTTATCATGATACACTTGGTAAAAGACTCTAGAAAAGTTGTGGTTTAAATTGCCAAGAGAAATAAACAAACTTACACATGAACACATGTTTAAAACTTGCTACATCCTGTAATTTTATCGACTGAAAGTCATTTCTTTTTGCAAAGATCAATTCGATGTAAGTACTCATTGAATAATATTTAAAGTTTAAAAATTCAACATTAAAGGTTATGAATGTACCTACTAATTCAAAGAGTTTTGTCGTTTCTCCTTTCACAAATCCTGCGTCCAGCATTAATTTAGTCAACAAAACCACTAACGAGAACCTTTTCTACAAGATACAAGAGTTTTTAGATACATCTTTATAAGTAATAAACATTTGTATAGTTTTTAAGTAAAGTAACGGAAAATATTCTTCTAGTGAATTAAGATATTTTACAAATTTGAAAAAAATAAAGAAAATACGTAGATTCTGGGCCTGAAGTTAGTAGGTTTGCAGAAAAGGCCTAAAATACGTAGATCTACGTAAAAAGACGTAGAGTTGGCAACACTGCCGCTGACAGCGCATTGACCATAGACAAAGTTTGTTCGGTGTTGCCACTACTCACTCAGACTTGAATACTGCAATTTTTAAACACAACCAAATGGTCATTTATTAGTTGTGCAATAGAAAGTAGCGCAAATGGATGGCGGAATGGATTTTAAAGTTTTTTCGAAAATGAGTGAAAATTTATGAAATTTCTTAGGTAATACGAAACGATATTTAAAATGTGGCTAGCTAACTATTATTGTATAGAGTAAAAGCAAACAGACTATCAAAAAGATTTTTATTTTTGATTTTACTGATGCTCAAAGTGCACCTCTACCGGGACGGATAAGCGTATTTTACGAAAAATTCATCGCTTTTTGTAGCAAAATATTTTATAAATTTCTAAGGTTTTGAAGATATTTAAATATATTTATTGATCGCGATTCACCATTTGTGAGGAAATATGATTCTGTTGTTGAAAAAAATGTAATTACCGTACTTTTTTTTTTAAATGTGGCGGATAGTTATGTTATAACTAATGTGGCAAAATTTACGGCCTGACCCTTATTGCTAACAGTTTTTTTTTTAATTTAAATTATCCAAGTCAGAAGAAAATATAATGCACATTTAAACGCTGCAAAGGTTTTATATCTACTGTTGAGAAATAACGCTAGAACACATCACGCCACGACACCTTGGTGTGCACATGCACACTCACCGTCACGACAGTGAGTAGCGGTGGGCGTTTAAACGAAAAGCGCTTAAATAAGCGCGCTTAAAATATTAAGCTTGTAAGCACGCTTTTAAGTATAAGCGTTATAAGCTTTTCACTTGAAAAGTGTGAGTAAGCTTTTCACTTAAAAAAGTGCAAATATATTTTTTACTTAAAAAGTGCAAATCCCGCCATCTATGTCTTTGCCAGGAAACTACATACTTCGATCCTTCTAGTCCACTACAGTATCGAAAAATGGGTACGCGGAATTCCTTGGAACTAAATATTTCACAATATCACAGACATAGAACGCGCGACTACAGCGCCGCGTCGGCGTGCCATCTTTCGTGAGCCGGTTAATACAGCATGCGAATTTTTATAATGCGACGTAAAACAATGCACTTTTTTAAAATTTGGTCGGATAACCAACGCTTTTTTCGTTAAAAGCGTTTAATTAAACGAAGTCGAAAAGCAGTACGCTTGTCACTGTGACGGGGTAAGAGCGCGTGGGTGTTGTACGGTGTGTTTGCATGCTTGCTTGTGTTAATGCGTTTAGTGTATTGGTTTAATGTGCATATAAAATAGTTAAAAGTATGTATATAAAGTCAATGAACTTTTAAGTACGCCTGGATCACGAATAGTCGAGTATATTAACTCCAGACAGTTCTAAGCTTGTAAAGTACGAAAGAAAGTTCATTGACTATTATAAAAATGTTTATTATAAAATCTAAATTCAATTGAAAATCTTTCGTTTTTAATGCCAATCAATTCATTAGGTTTAAAAAAACTTGTTAATAAAAATTTCATTAATAAGAAGAAAAAACGCAATAAAACACTTATACACATTAAAAACGACATTAAACTTTTCACGCTTTTTTAAACGATATACCTAAACGAAAACGCAACACAACGTCGCGCTTTTTACGCATGCTTTTGAACGTTTAAGCCAATAAGCGTTTAAATGAAAAACCTTTTTTTCAAGCGCGCTTATTTTAAAAAGTACAACGTATAAACGCTTTTAAGAAATAAGCCGTTTTTTCCATCTCTAACAGTGAGCACTACGACAAGCCACGCACGACACATTATGTTTCCACCTTTATTTTTCTCTATGAGAAAATGTCAAACTGACATCTGGCAAATCATGCACGCTCGATTTCAGTGTGGTGCGTTGTGAATATTTTGTCGTATTTAATTTACATATTTGTAGAAAAATAACTTGCATCTATATAACTCTACTTCTACAATAACCGTAAGTATTTGATTAAATTTTAAGCTTTGTTATTAGCACATTTTTTTTCTTTAGTTGCTACAATGTTAAAAGTACTTAGAAATAAATTAATTTGTCATCTAAAACGGGTTTTCCGTGTCTAGAAGTCCTTGATATTTATGATATGTAAAATTCTGTTCTAATTGTAGTCTCGTCTTCTTCCAATGTACAAAATCAAAGTGCACATTAATGTTTTTTTTTTGACCCAATGATCCACTTAATGTGATATTGGCTGCCTACTTTCTAGTTCATTCCAAATAGTTCTGAGTTTGATGATAACTATCATTTTGGAAAGTCCTCTAGAAAAAATCAGTTTAAATAAGAATTTACTTGATGTAGTGTTATCAGTTTCCATTATCAGGTGAAATCAGCAGTAGGTTTCTTTGCATTTATAAATCAAAGAATGGTTGATATTCCATATTTTATTGAAATATTAGGTAAAATTCAATATTGTGAGTCAGATATATTGTTAAGAAAACTGTAGCAAAACTTATAGGTACCTTTATTAAATCCAGCTCTAAAGTTTCTTTCCCATGTTCCTGTTAGCTAAAAGACGTCCTGAACAGGTGGTAGGAAAATAAATTATAAGGACGATTCAAAACAAACTTTATTAAGTCAGCTTGAATAACATTTATTTTCATTTCATTTCCAGCTTTCTGCATTTAATTATAATATACTGTTGTTTAATTTGTTAAGGTAAATGACTATTACGATATTTACTATATGAACCCAAAGAGATCAGCAGTTTTTAGATTCTGAATGAATGAATGAATGATGCGGCTAACATGTTATTTAATTATTTACTCAGGATATGGCTGACCAGAACCCACAAGCAGGTGACACTGGCCCACCAAAAGGGATTCCTGCCTTGAAAGCCCATGTTGTAGCGAACAAAGTGGATGTAGCACTCTGGGGAATCCGGTTGCTCACAGTACTCTGCACAATAGGATATATTTTACCATTATTTAACAAGTAAGTCGTTTATACGTAAGACATAAACGTTGAAGTTAACTATAGTCATCACCATCAGCATCAGTCTATTAATGCATATAATTTGTATTTTTGAATTTAAACTGTGAATTAACATGTTGTCGTGGTAGTGGAAGAATTAAATAACTGACAAATCCCAACCTTTGCTATATATATATTTAATTATGTTATCTAGATTCCCAGGGTCAGTATTAATTAATAATGAAAAGTATGTTGTTCAACATATCAAAAGATCATCAGTAAATTTTCTGAACAATAAAAAGTTATGTTCATTTTTTCTGTAGTTACTTAAATTCTTCCAATATTAAGAAGGAATTTTGACATCACCTTTATTTTTTTTAATGGCTCTGTAATTGTAGCCTTTGAAGGACATTGTTTATAAGTCAATCAACAACATGTTAAATTAACACTAACCACATTTTATATACTACTCAAGTAAACAAAATAGACAACATGTTATTTTTTTTCAATTTGTGGTCACATAATAACAAAGATTTATAAATTATGTAAGCATAGTAAAGATAATACATTTTCTTTTTTATTTTCATGCCGATTATATAATGTACTAATAAACAAAATTTTATGTGACATTGCAATTTAATTTATCTGTCCCATAGACAAGTGACATTTACCTTGCACACACAGTCCAGTAGTTTTGCTAATTGTGTGTCGAGGAATAGAGAAATTCTCATATTATATGTATATGAACAAAACAAAGATACTGAGCTTATATTTGTTTGTATATCTGTTACTAAATGACTATCTAATACTTATAATATTAATGTATAATCAAGTATTTAATGATTGGTGGGAAATTTCTGTTTTGTGATTATTTACATCATCAACAAGTTAATTTAGTATTGCATAAGGAGTATAAACATTTAAACAGCCGATTAAATTTCCATGTGATGATTGAAGTTGTGAGAAATGGCTACATTATACTTTTTTGTCAAACTTTGGGTATGCAACGACAACAAATATCTTCATAATAGTGGAAGAAAGAATTAAATCGATTGATTGGCCAGCCTTGTTTCCTTAGCTACGACTATAGAGTCAGAGCATTGATTGATTGATTTTCAAAAAGAAACAGCCTTCTCGACATGATACAATTGATGCAGCACAACTCTTGAGTCACAAACTCCACACAAGCATGACACACACTTTTGCGTTCTTTCCCATTAAAAATAGTTAGACGGTATAAATAAAGGGGCCAGTCTGAAAACTAGTGCAGGGCTCACCCCAGTTTATTAACTGAGACTGGTGCACAAAAGGGTTATGGCAATATACCAAATTTTTTAATTATAATTTTGTTATATTAGTAATTATTTTTTTAGCTTTCTGCTTTTTTTTTAATTGCATGTTTTATCATCATGAGCCTACTAATGTTCCCACTGCTGGGGCACAGGCCTTTCCTATGGATGGAATAAGGAGTCTGAGCCATGACCCAACACGTGGGCCCAGTGGGGATTGGTAGGTGCTGACGACTGCAGATGCTGCCGGGACCTACAGCATAACGTGCCTTCCGATGCACGAAGAAGCTCGAGATAATAAATTTATGGTCTCCCATCCAATGACCGACCACTGCGAAAGATGCTTAACTTCAACGATCGCAGCCGAACGTACAAACCACTTGTGCCATCGAGCTCTAACAGAGACTTATCTATTACAATTTCGTACATTCGCGTAGCCCGGTGTCAGCGTTCTACAAGGCGCTGCTGGGCAATGCTGCCACGTCAGCGCTGCGGCTGCACCAGCGCATCCCGGCGCGGGAGATCTCCCTCTCCCGGGACTTCGTGGTTCGATTCTTCATGGAAGACAGCGCTCACTATCTCCTGTACTCGCTCATATTCATGAACGTTGCGCCCAATTTGTGTATCCTTTTCTATTAAACTAATATAATACTTAATGTTACGTAGATTTTTCGGCCCTTCCGTTATCTGGGCCGCTATGCTACTGAGGCGCAAGCACGAATTTTGACAGATCCGTAATAGTATCATCATCGTCAATTTTTTTCAATCAATCAATCAATTATTTATTTTCAAATACAGGTGATACGAAGGTGTTAAATTATATGTACGCTTATTACATATTTCACCACAAGGCATGCAAATTAAAATAAACACATAGGTACATCCATTTACACAGATTGGTCCTCTAAAAATTCCTTAATACTATAATATGCCTTTTTAGTAACATATTCTTTAATTTAGAGCGAAATATATTGGGGCTTTCAGCTTTTCTAATTTCAATTGGAATTTTATTATATACCTGAGGTGTCATACAAAGTACACTATTATTCATAAGCCATGTCTTGTTAGATGGTAAACAAAGTCTGGAAGCAGTCAATTTGTTCTTGGGTCAGGTAGAGGTAGGGTTGTCAACCCAACTATATAATAAAGTATATCCTACTATATACAGGGTGGCCGGGGAGTTGACGTTCAAGCGTAAAATTTAGATACCTTATGATGAGGAGTATCCAAATCACCCCCATGTATGTTCTACGATTTTGCGTAGTTTTCGAGTTAAAATATTTTTAATGATTTTTTTCGTAATTTTCACCTAACATCAGTTTTCGATTTTTTTCTCATTCTGTTGGACGTTTCTGGTTCAGTTTTTTTGTGATAATTGACTAACATAGTCTAACCTAGCACGCTAAAACTTATGGTTTATCTAAGCATTGCAGAATTCACTTAGAATTTGTTCGAAAGTTCAAAATTACGATTCGAGCTCAGTACACACAAATTTTCAAAATATCAAAAAAAATGTAAATGGGGGGATTTGGAGTTGAAAGTGCTTTTAGAAACTTCCTCAGACATTAAACTTTAAAACAAGGCCAAATAAAGATAGGGTTAAGGGGGGTTTATTTTCTGTAACTGACCTTCAAAGTAAATTAAGGCATTTTCAATGGAAAAAAAATAATTATTTATTATAAAAAAAAATATTTTATTTTATTTAAGTTATGATGGATTTGAGTAAAACGCAGTTAATTGTTAACAAAATACATTTATTTAAAGCAAATTTTCAAAATTTCGCCCTCCCACAGAAATACACAATCTACATCTGCGCAAAAAATTATGTTTTAGGTGCCTAAAAGCTTCACGGTTATTTTTCACAGTGGTTTCAGCTTCGCGAATTTTTGCTCTCAGTTCTTCTTCACTCGAAACTTCTCTGGCGTACGCAATTTCTTTAAAGTAGCCCCAGATAAAAAAAATAATAGGGTTGAGGTAAGGCGAGCGTGGTGCTAGGCAATTGGCCCTCGTCGTCCGATCCACCTGTTGGTGTAGGTCTGGTCTAAATGACGACGCACTTGTATCGCGTAATGACATGGTACCCCGTTGTTCTGGAACACCATCGTTCTTCTTAATTCAAGATTTAAATCTTCCAGTAATATGGGTAGATTGTCTTCTAAAAAACTTTTGTATGTGTCGCCGTCTAATCTCGATGGCATAGTCCAGTCGGAATAAACATGAGACCTATTCTAAGACACCAGCGCTTAGCCAATTTTTTCCTAGATAGTATAGACTCCCACGAATATGCCCTCCATTTGTCCCCGCTAGAACCCGTGTTTTGTAGCCAGGAAAATTGTTTAAACAAAGAAAAACCGGTTTTTTTGCTTGTAAACGGGGATTTTGAAAATTTTTTTGAATCAAAGTTGTTCACTTCTTGCCCTCTACAAAATCAGTTCTATGAAAAAATGACGTGAGATTGTTAGTTTAGCAGTAAATTGCAATTATGTCGGTTTTACGTTTGCAACAATTCAACATGTTATAATAAACATTTTGATTTCTAAAGTAGTTTATCATGTGGGTAACGCCACTCCCAAGACATAACGCCACTCCCAAGTCATGTAAAATTTATCGACCTGTGTCGCAAACTTTAGCAACAATTCTCAATCTCCAAAAGTTGAGGAGAGAAAAATACATTAGTTTAAAAAAAAATATATATTCTACGTCAATTTTTAAAAAAAATTTAAATCGTCCAAAAACGAACATTTTTACTAACGATTTTTTTCTACTCGATCGATTCCTCAAAATTGTTGGTGAATCGAATCACCTGAATTTTTTTTCCCGCTGTGCGCCTTCTGGGAAAGACGGGACAGGCAAGTACTTTTTTTTCGGAGATTGAGAATTGTTGCTAAAGTTTGCGACACAGGTCGATAAATTTTACATGACTCTCTTGGGAGTGGCGTTACCCACATGATAAACTACTTTAGAAATCAAAATGTTTATTATAACATGTTGAATTGTTGCAAACGTAAAACCGACATAATTGCAATTTACTGCTAAACTAACAATCTCACGTTATTTTTTCATAGAACTGATTTTGTAGAGGGCAAGCTAATGAACAACTTTGATTCAAAAAAATTTTCAAAATCCCCGTTTACAAGCAAAAAAAACTCAAAAAAACCGATTTTTCTTTGTTTAAACAATTTTCCTGGCTACAAAACACGGGTTCTAGCGGGGACAAATGGAGGGCATATTCGTGGGAGTCTATACTATCTAGGAAAAAATTGGCTTAGCGCTGGTGTCTTAGAATAGAAGTCGGTCCAAATTATGGCTATTCCGACTGGACTAGCAGTTCAAATTGGCCTATTAATTTGCTATTCAAAACACCAGACCACATGTTCACGCTAAAACGATGTTGAAATGATGATGGTCTGGCGGCATGTGGATTTTCAACGGCCCAAATGTGAAAATTGTGGATATTGAAAACCCCAGTTCGCTCAAATCTTGACTCGTCGGTCCACCAGATTTTATTAAAGTATCCGGGATCTTCTTCCTCTTTCTGCAACATAGTTCTACAGAATTCGACTCTCAATTGGTAATTTGAAGGCTGCAACGCTTGTACTTTTTGTATGTGGTAGGCGTGAAATGATTCCTCACGCAAAATATCCTGTATTGAAGATCTTGGTATGTCAAGGTTACGAGCTAATGCTCTCGTACTTGTACTACAATTGCGTTGCACTTCTTCCAGTACGATTTCACTACGTTCCTGATCAACCCTCTGAATACCTTCACCGCCACGTTGGCCAGGAATGCGGCCTGCCATTAACGTATTGTGAGTATTAATGAACACACGATAGTCAGGGTAATGATCAGGTTGCGCTCCGCCTCCGCATTGAAGTTGATCCCTGTAGAGTCTTGCTGCTTCACGACCGTTGCCTTATGCAACGCCGTAGAAATAATGCGTTTCTGCATATTCACTCAGAGTGTAGGGCATCACTAACATTTCCAAGTAACTACAATCCAAATCGTTAGGCACAACGGAATCCAGTAACAAGCAGGGGTCAAACAAGTAAGCAGCGGCGGCATCAGTAGGCAAATAGTGGTCGAGAAAAAACGGCAGAACAAGACGAGTAGTAGTAAACCTCAACCCTATTGATTTTTTATCTGGGGCTACTTTAAAGAAATTGCGTACGTCAGAGAAGTTTCGAGTGAAGAAGAACTGAGAGCAAAAATTCGCGAAGCTGAAACCACTGTGAAAAATGACCGTGAAGCTTTTAGGCACCTAAAACATAATTTTTGCGCAGATGTAGTATGTAGTATGTGTGTAGTAGATTGTGTATTTCTGTGGGAGGGCGAAATTTTGAATATTTGCTTTAAATAAATGTATTTTGTTAACAATTAACTGCGTTTTACTCAAATCCATCATAACTCATACAAAGTCAAAGATTAAAATAAAATAAAAAAAAAATTTTTTTTCCTTTGAAAATGCCTTAATTTACTTTGAAGGTCAGTTACAGAAAATTACCCCCTTAACCCTATCTTTATTTGGCCTTGCTTTAAAGTTTAATATCTCAGGAAGTTTCTAAAAGCACTTTCAACTCCAAATCCCCCCATTTACATTTTTTTTGATACTTTGAAAATTTGTGTGTACTGAGCTCAAATCGTAATTTTGAACTTTCGAACAAATTCTAAGTGAATTCTGCAATGCCTAGATAAACCATAAGTTTTAGGGCGCTAGGTTAGACTATGTTAGTCAATTATCACAAAAAAAACTGAACCAGAAACGTCCAACAGAATGAGAAAAAAATCGAAAACTGATGTTAGGTGAAAATTACGAAAAAAATCATTAAAAATATTATAACTCGAAAACTACGCAAAATTGTAGAACATACATGGGGGTGATTTGGATACTCCTCATCATAAGGTATCTAAATTTTACGCTTGAACGTCAACTCCCCGGCCACCCTGTATATTAGTGGATCAAATACTATATATTTAAAAAAAATATATAGTAGGCGAAACTAATATACTTTGCTTAGAGCATACTTTTGCCAGTAAAACCGTTCTTAAATAAAATAAAAACTGAATTATTAAGGTATAGAGCAGAAAAAATATACTCATTTCAAAAATAAAGTAAATATTTTAACCAAATACTGTAATTTTTTCCATTTTCTTGCCACCTACTATATTTTTAGAGGTAACAGCTTCGAAAATACTATATTTGATAGAAAAAAAAACGAGCGAGCCTTAGGCTGAAAACAGTGCTCGACCGTAGCTATATATATCTATGCAAGTCTATGAATGCGTACACAGCTACGCTGATGGTACGCGTGTGATTTTGTACGCGCGTACGGTCGGTCGAGCCGTCGTCGGTCCAGATCGTCGGTCGCGCGTACGTCGGTCTACCGACGAGCTATGAGATTGTATGGATGCGTTTAGTGCTCCACTGACGGAGCGACCGACCATACCCGCGTACGTATACTCAAAGCAAAAATGAATATTGACACAGAGTGCCTTATTACTGAAGTGCGGCTTCGACCGGCAATATGGAATTTATCGTATGTATTTTTTAAAGACCGTGATGCTAAAATAAGTGCTTGGCAAGAAGTTTGTAAAAAATTAATTGCGCAAAAAATAGCGTGCATATATTACAGCAAAAGGGTTAGTTTTTCTCGTGAACTGAACACACGCGTCGCAGTTCGCCGTCAGCGTAGTACTGAATGCATTTTCGCAACCGACGGTCAGCGCTGAGGGTCAGGACGTACCGTCGGTCGAGCACTGTTTCCAGCCTTACAGTAGCCGCGAATGTTGTGTAACATTTGAAACCTCACCTTATATTAATAAAAAAAAAACCTACTACAAAAGGAATAAGCCATTCGAACATTATGTTCTAAAATCAAATCAAATAGCGCGCGCTTTCGTGACTTCCTGTTACACACTTCCGTCCCATTTCACGAAATCACTCCCATAAATTACAGGAAAGCGAGAGGAAAGATGATACACATCAAAAAGTTGGTAACCCTAGGTAGGAGCGCTGCTTAGTTTTAATAGAAACTGTCAAAGTTCGTGCTTGGGCCTCTGTAACCTTAATGGCCGTGTCGAATTTCCTCTAGTGTTTCTGAAGCAGACGGTGCAGGTTCGAATCTTGTCTGACACCTAACGAAGTGTTCCTTTAAAGTATTTTTTTTAGATTTATAAAATAAGAGGTATAATGCTTAAAATAAAAATATAATGAATTACATTATTCATATATAAGCAATATAATTAAAGGACATTGCTCGTTCCCCATACATTGAATGCCCTAGAACGCACAGCAATGAGAAAATGCTAGTTGTGTTCGGAATCATTCATAAACTCTAATTAGGCATTTGTTGAGATACGGACAACTCGAGGAACCGTGGCCTACTACAGAATGTATTAGATTTTGAGATTATAATTATTATACTTAATCGTAAAAGTTAGTTGTTGTGTAAGTTGTTTATATATATTTTGAATAGATTTAGTGTTTACTAGACCAGGGTCGATAATTTTAAAAATGGTGAAAAGTGAAAAAAAATTATAGTAGGATGAAACCCATTAGAAAAGGTAGAGGATATAACAAAAATGAAAGGAAAAATAAATTACTGGCGATCTGAGGTCGGGAAGGGGGAGGGGGTAAGTTTTTAAGGGTAAAAAATGGTTAATCTCGATTTCCGGTAAAACTGCAAGTCCTATGAAAAAAAGTTAAATGGCAAAGTTGTAGGTAATAAAAAGATCTACAACTTTTGTATCGACACTTTTTTCACATAACCTCAAAATTTATGTGAAAAATGCGAATAACCGAGTTTTTGATTTTTATTTTTTGCAAAAAAAAATATTTTTTCACGAAATTTGGTGAAAACTTACCTTTGTATGTCCCAAACATACAGTAATTTTTTTGATTTAAAATATTCATTTTTTCATCTTATTTTGACTTATCCAAAAAGCACCCTAATTTTCAATCGAAAATGCTCACGTCAAAATATCTGCTTTTTTAAAAAAGTTGGGGTGTTTTTTGTTTGTTGAAATCTCTACTTTCTGATGGTATAAAAAAAATATACACTACTATGATAAATGTTCTCAGAAAATGCAAATTAATAATGAAAAAAACTCGAATCCGAAAATCCTATTTTTTATACCTACTTACAACAACTATTTTTGCATGTTTTATGGATTTGTAATTTTTCTGTTTATCAATATAACATGAAATCTTACGTTTTTCGAGTAATTAAAGTGTAAATTTTAATAAATAGTTCAAAATTATACATAATGATTCAAATCAATTTTTCGGATTGGAGTTTTTTTCATTATTAAGTTGCAGTTTCTGAGAACATTTACCATAGTAGTGTATATTTTTTTTATACCATCAGAAAGTAGAGATTTCAACAAACAAAAAACACCCCAACTTTTTTAAAAAAGCAGATAATTTGACATGAGAATTTTCGATTGAAAATAAGGGTGCTTTTTCTATATTAAGTCAAAATAAGGTGAAAAAATGAATATTTTAAATCAAAAAAATTACTGTATGTTTGGGACATACAAAGGCAAGTTTTCACCAAATTTCGTCAAAAAAAATTTTTTTTGCAAAAAATAAAAATCAAAAACCAAAAACTTGGTTATTCGCATTTTTCACATAAATTTTGAGGTTATGTGAAAAAAGTGTCGATACAAAAGTTGTAGATCTTTTTATTACCTACAACTTTGCCATTTAACTTTTTTTCATAGGACTTGCAGTTTTACCGGAAATCGAGATTAACCATTTTTTACCCTTAAAAACTCACCCCCTCCCCCTTCCCGACCTCAGATCGCCCGTAATTTATTTTTCCTTTCATTTTTGTTATATTCTCTACCTTTTCTAATGGGTTTCATCGTACTATAATTTTTTTTGGTCTCAAAAATTATCGACCCTGGTCTATACCTCTATGTAAACACTTTAATAATATGCATTTAATGAACACAAAATGCAATTAATAATAAAAATAATAAATGCGTATATTCATATTGATTTTTTAGTTTTGGCAGTCGGCACCTATGATTTTTTTTAAACCACCTATGATACCTATACCTACCTGTTGTAATAATAGATTTCTCTTCAAATGAAATGTTCAAAATCTTTCCATTTACCTGTTGCTATATTTTACTATCTGTAATAAGGTATGTACCTGGTTATCATTATGATTTTCATAAAAATAAACAGGATGGGATGGGAGTATAAACTATCTTTACATAATTTCAGAAATAATCTTTTTCATAAATATAAAATAAATACTAGTGTCAAGTATTATTAACTAAGGTACCTAGTTCTATTCTTATGTTGATAAATACCTATGGTCACCTATATTGCATTTATTAAGGTAAACAAGCTTGGCATAACTTTTTAACAAAATCACCCATTTAAAAATAAAATAATGACGAAGCCAACAAACTATTAAAATAAATTGTTATTATAGACTGAAACCTATTGAATCCAGTTATCAGTTGATTTTTAATGCTGTATTTTCAATAAAAAGGAGTGCCATGATTGTTTACCAAATACGACAAGTTAGGATGAACAGACTGTAATATCTAGTAACAGAACTTTTATTTTTTATTTTTTTAAACAGCTTGTCCGTTTACTATGATTTATTGCTAATAAATTAAAAAAATAATAGAAATATAATAGAAGGACATTCTTTTGGGCATGCTAGGGCCGATTTCGTCGATGTCCTTTATGAATAAGTTATAATTATTTTAATATGTAATTGATGATTAATATAGAACGAAAAATCATACAATTTTTTTTAGAAATAGAAATGTTTCTTTTTTTATGCACCAATAAAATCCCTTAGTTATTTGCTCAGTGATTTTGACGCCAATATGTTTGTTCGCTCTTCTTCACGCCGCCTCGTATTCACTCACCATTCTTGATGTAAGTATTAGTCACAAATTTTATAAATTAATATAATATAGATTAATAAATATAGCTACTAAGAAAATTTTAAGTGTGAAGCAAAACAACATTTTTTCTTTAAAGTCATTGGTTTGGAAATATCTCGAATTATGTGGCCGCTTACTACTGCCAAGCTAGCCATTTTTTTATGTATTTAGTTTTATTTTAAAAGGGTTTCGAAACTAGCTTGTGTTTCGCCTAATGATAAACAAAATATTTTTTTGTTTCAATGTTTAGCCACTATAAAACTAAGATTATGATTTATAAATTATGAGAGCATTGCAAATATTATATGCATGTTCTTTTTTTTTCAATTAAATTTCGTGTGAATTTAATATTAAATTTATCTCTTCAATATATCTGACGACCTCTGTGGCCGAGTGGTTTATACGCCAGGTTTCATGGTGTCGCCGACTCGAGAGCTCCCGGGTTCGAATCCCAGTGGGGGCAGATGTTTGTGTGATGAATACGAGCATTTGTACTCCAGTCATGTTTAATATGTATTTCTATGTAAATGTACTTATATATGTACAATATAATATGTATTCTATCCGTTACCCTAGTATCCCATAACACAAGCTTACACTTACAGTGCTTACTTTGGGGCTAGGCTAATTGGTGTGAGTGTTGGAATTATTTATTTATTTTATAGGCAAGTGACATCTATCTTGCACACACACGGTCCAGCAGTTGGCTAATTGTAGACAAATGTCAGGGTTTGTGTTAGGGAATAGAGAAATTGTCATCATTGAGTAATTTCATGCTTGTCAGGGAGAGCTGCACACACACATATAGTCGTGTGACGCTCGTGAAGCATGTCCGTTTCATCTTTTCCATAGGATTTTTCCATTTTAACTTTAATAAATCTTTCTCCAATTCGCATTTTACCAATCCGCACTGGGCCCGCGTGGTGGGTTATGGCCCAATCTCCCTATTCCATCCATAGGGAAGGCCTGTGCCCCAGTAGTGGGGACATTAATAGGCTGATGATGATGATGATGAAATCTTTCTCACAGCAGCATTGATGTTTTCCATTCTCCCTCTACAACGAATTAACCGAACAAAAAAAAATATCCACGTAATTATGATGTTGTTACTTTGTTATTCTTTGCTTTTGAAGGTAATTGGGTACCAAACAACACTTAACGGTAACCCGTATTGTCTGTTAACTTGAAAATTATTTGACCCTTGACACTTTTTAGTATTGTTTTGTTAAGTATATGTATGATTAATCATAAGTACCTATTAATATGATGGAAGAAGACTACTGCAATACACTTGTATGTATATGAGGCCATGAGAACCATAGTGGCCTAACTCATTTTTTAACCATAGCGGCCTATCTTACTTAGGCCAGTATGCCACCTCAAATTTAGATCACAGACTAAAAACCGTAACAGTGATTATACTGCCATCTAGTGAATATTCGTTGTATCAGTTTTAGACCACTCTGGTTCTATCAAAATGATCAATTCTCAATATTGTAAAAAAATGAGTTAGGCCACTATGGTTCTCATGGCCTCATATGTAGTCCAGGCAATCTATAATCTGGCTGAATACAGGAGGGACAACGGGCAAGAAGAATCGTCGAAAAACTAGTGGATGACATTATGGGACACGCAGGCCATAATTGAATGACCAATGTCCAAAGACCTAGTAGAGGCTGATAATGCAAATTGTATTTGAAGTAATTGTTTGTCAAAAAAAAACTCAAATATCTTGTACTTATTCGTATTCAAAAACAAAGTGAATATGTTGTATTGGCGACAGTAGGTAAATTTTTAATGAGCATAGTCGAGTCGTGGCGTGTCAAGGTGAACATAACCGGTAACTCGGAAATGTGGAAATAAGTCATGCGTAATATCATTTTACGCGTCATATAATGACGTCACATAATCTACTAATGCATTTACACCGGTAGTGAAGAATGTTGGTTCGTAAACTGTTCCTTCAATCCACTCCGATTTGAGAATAGCATGTAGTCCAGTCAATGAAGGCTTAACTTTGCCATTTTGAGTTGATCACCTGCAACCAACGCGAAAATTTCCGCAAGGGTTCTTAGATTAATATACTAAAATTGCAGGGTGCGACATTGACGGCAAAGGGTGAAAAAAAATGCGAAATGGTGCAAAAACGAGTTTTTTGTCAATATCTCGCGACTGGCTGGAAAAATAGAAAAAGTTCCTAGTACAAAGTTGTAGAAAATTTAATTTCCTACAAAAAAGGTATCAACATATTTTCGCGTATCTCCCATAGTTTTTTGCACAAAATGCAATTAAAGGTGCAAAATAAAAAAAGAAAAATTATTGTTAATGGTTTTTTATCCCTATTTTAAACGATCCTACGGGTCAAATTCAACAATCACCAATTACTGAAATATTTAAGGATGAGTTTTCGGCAGTCCACTGAAATGAAAATTGTCTACCGAAATGGTAACAAATTACCACCGAAATGATACAGCCAAGAACATCACCTTTGTAGTAGAAGGGTTCCCTATTTTGAATTTAAATAAATTTCCTTATTCTTTGTAAATATTTTTGTTCGTTATTTTATAAATTAAGAATTAATTAACTGTTACTCCTATTAATTAATATTCCTATTTAAAAATATTAATAGGTACATTTTCAAAATAATGAACAAAGCGCGTTTAGAAAGCGAGAAGTTTATTAGTTAGTAAATCGTTCCCTTAGTGCCAAAACCGATTATCTGCACTTTTCCCCTATAGAACTTTCATAATACCAATCGATCCATCTCATTAAGCCGCATCTACAGGTAAAACCCATTATGCTCTACGACGCATACTTCCTGAAATAGCTAATGAATAAACAGAATAACTGCAAATTATTTCCAAAATTCTTGATTTAAAACCTGGGTTTATTACCCTTTCAAAACACTTAAATTTGTAAACGTATTAATTGTTGAAACCAAGTTTCGGATTATATTATATATTAGATTATTATATATTTGCAATATGTATTATCATTATCATATAATAAAATTTAAATCATTTTTTTTTGTCAAGATTATTATATGAAAAAAGGAAATAATAAATAAAAAAATACCCGAAACATATTAATTAAATCCTAATGAAGCATGTAGGGGTAAACTCCGAGAGCAAAAAAAAATACATGGTATTCCTCAGAGCGGCAGTGCAATGTGCTGATTTATGATTTTGAATTTTTTTCTTGGTTAAGTAGGTACTTCTCAACCTTGGCAAAAAGAATTATTGAGTAATGGGCTCTAAATCCATAAAATAAAAAAATACGAACTGGCATTTTATCATCACGGTGACCTGTTCTAAACCCAAGTCCTCTCTTAAAATTACTACCCCTGTAGTTACTTTTATTTTTTGGATTGAAATTAACTTTTATATCAATAATATATAGTATAGCCTATCAACGAAAACCACTATTGTTTGTTTACCTTCTTTCTAATACATATAACAAGCACTCAACTATTGTCCGGGAAAAAGTTATCATTTCCATGGACAGTAAGTTTTTGTGAAATAGGTTCGTTTACATTGTGTTTTTGTATCCCGCTTGTCAGTGCTCCCTTCGAGCCAGGCCGCCTTAGATGGATCACACGCACGCGCAACAACGTCATTGTGGATTCCCGCCAAATAGTAAGCTAATTTCAGTGATATGGGGACAATTGATTCGGTGACTGTAATGCCAATAAGAGTCCAGGGAATGAAAGTATCGCCGAAATGATACATCCATAAGTTTTTAGAAATCCTGGAGTCAATATAGGTATATTAAATAATTTCGGTGTGTGATGTACGTTTACCTAGAAACTGTAGGTTCGATATTTCGGATGCAGTAGTATTTCAATCTAAAATTTCTAGTTTAAAAATGTATATTAAAGTTAAAGCGGATGAAGTCGTTGGCGGCCGATAGTATTTAAATATAAAAAAGTGTAAAAAAAAAACTGTATTATTCATCTGCACTTGACTCGCTTGCACATGATGAGTCATCAAAAATGGTTCCTGAAGGCAAACGATCAGATTGGCTTGTTTCTGTAGCCAAAGATCTGCATAATTCATGGTACTCCTCAGATATGACACCTTTGTAGCAAGTATCAAAAAAAATTCTTTGCTATAGATTTTTTTTTATATATAGGCTCAACAAATGACTCCACCAGAGGTTAGGTGACGGAGGAGTCTAGACGCGAAGATAGCTGGTACAGCAGTATTACTTGCCACACCAGCTATCCTCATTTTGCCGGCATGCAGAATTGCTACTTCACACACGTAAGAGGGCAAAGTAATCCATTTGCGGATAGTCTAACAAAGAAATGAGTTACCAAATTTCTTTGTTCACGTTGGAATAGTGGGAATAGTAGTTCACAGAAAGTCGGTGGCAACGTAAGCCAGCGCGTGTAGACTTCTGTATGAAAGGGGAAGGTAGGTTAAGGGACAATAACTCCTCAAAACATGCGCCAAGGTATAGACGATAAAACGCGCTTAATAACGCCACATCACGGCGTAACTGAAGAGGCTCGAGGTGTTTAGTCACCTCCTTATCGCCAATAATGCGGATCGCGCGCCGCTGTAACCTATCCAAAGCATCAAAAAAGTACTTGGTGGAGCCATCCACCAATATTCCACGTAAGACCGTACTTACGTCATGTACAACAAGCACAGTTGCTCAGGCGTGAAAAAACGTTAGTTTTACCGTGAAAGCGCAGACCTGGGCTTTCTTGGCAAAGAACTCAACCAAGTTCTTGATACCGCATTCCGAAATGCGGTCCAAATCTTGATTGAGTTCAATGACAAGATTCTCCCGTTTCTCTTTGGCTTCTACCTGTCCAGCGGCTGCGTATCCAAAATATCCCGCATGCACTGTATTATCGTCTGCATAGAATATTCTCAAGCGGAATTAAATCATTGAATGCAGCAAAAAGAGTGTAGGGGATAGGACGGAGTCCTGAGAAACACCGGCATTCACTGACATGAACTGCGAACTACATCCGTCGCCGTC